CAGAATCCATATGGTTCTATTTCATGAGTTCGTGGTTTAGATAAATATAAACTGATTTATTCTGAATTTTAAAAGGAAATGCAATTAATTATCAAATCTTCAAATTCTGGAAAGTTTAATCCGTACACTTGGTGTCCCTCCGATGCATATAATCGACTAAACAATGTTTCAAAACAAAGGAAACATACCAACATCAATCTTTATTCGGTTAATTTCAATCACACGAACTGAATTTTATAGGTATCGGATCATGAACCTAAAATTTATCTTGTGCATTTGGTTTGGATAAAATACGTAGTTTTTTTTAGAACATGCAGAAAGACGTATTTTCGAATGTTTCAGGAAAACATTTATCATTTAGAAACAGTATAAATATAACAAAATAACCCGTTTAATGCACTTTGACTTCAAAAAATGAACAAGGTACACTTTCAATAAACATTTAGCCTTGTATTTTTCAAAAATATGAAAGTGATATAAGAAATTAAAATTCATTCTTTTTGAATCATAGGAATTCCATGCAGTAGGAATACATAAATCATTTTTTCTCAATATGACCTCCTAAATGTTAATTGTGATGTTAATTAACTTGTGCATTTTCCCGTATTTTCCTTTAAAAAGTTACACATGACATCAATTGTCAGTTGAATTTCCTTTTGAAAAAACATACTGTGCACCGTCGCCGACAAACAATTTGAAATATGTGATTTCTCAAATCAGTTAATAATATATATCATAATATATCCAAAAATTGGAGCGGGCGACGGTGGCAGATACTATTTTCTAAAGGAAAATAAGCACAGAAATGAGTCATTCTAAGGCTTTTCTACATTAAACTTAGAAATGTACCGAATTAGTGACGTCATATTTCCATAATTGTCCTCTTCATTCCATATTCTATAATGATTTATCATTAATATATTATTATTTAATGATTTATCTACTCAACTATTGTAAAAGCCAATTTCATAACTTTTAAGACCACACAACGAGAACTTGCTGGTCAGCTGTGATGTAACATCACTTTACATAAATGTGCAATTGGAGAAGCTTATGGCTGCTGTTGATACGGCTTTTAGGGAAATTCTCGAGCTGAGCCCACAGCAGACCAAAATTATTTACTCAGATTTTCTTATATATTTGAATTTGCAAATATATACAAACAAATAATTGAATATGCGATGGGTTGTAAGTCAGGAACCCCATTCTGTATGCGATATACGCTAATAAAATCTATGTATAAAATTATTAAAATACCTGCATATTCTAAGAAACATAAGGATTGCAATACAATCTTTCAAGAATAACTTATTGTGTCATTAAACACATTAAAAATCTGAGTGATATGCTCCTCTCCTAACTAATTTACTAATCTGTATAACAGATGTGCAAATAGGCTCCTGATGATGGCGGATTTGCAGCTAATTAATATACTATCAAAATCTTAAACCTCGTATATATCACACCGCCGAAACACTAGATTAGTGTCGAGTCAAGTGATTTGAGGTACGTGGCTGATGAGAGTCACTTTTTTTGAAACTGATATGAAGGACAATGTCCCAATGGCTCTATTCCCGAGAATCGCCGACCTTTTCTGCGATCCGTACTTCCTGTCATTTGATCTCACTGATTCTCTTGTTTCGGTGTTGTCATACCTTTATACTATGTATAAATTAAAACTGGTCCGCAAGAGAAAAATGCACATTTGGCATTTTAAAATAAGACAAACCAGTATTAACATAGTGACCTATGGATGATTTTAAAAAACCTTGCACCGGCTTCACCCACGCAGAAAGATGACGGAAATTCCGTAGTATAAGAATGCAGCAAACCCAAAACGTATCTGGAATTGTGACTGGGCGACTGCATTAATCAGTTTATATTTACAAAAATGTGTTTTCGGATTATATTTTGAATGAAACAGGTAATTATGCTTGTATCTTATCAATCGCTAATTAAGTTCCAATCACTCTGATTTGTAATGTACGAATGGAGATTTGAATCACGTGATTTTCCACGTGCACTGGTTCTAAAACTACAAGTACATTCACAACAGAATGATACGTCGTTCCGATCGGAACACTATATTAAAGCGCAAATTGCGCAAGGCTTAAGAATTACAAAGCCAGTTAACAAGAGAGCATAGAACAATAGTTCTCTTAGCTCGTGAGCTTGTATCTCATTTTCACATCGGACATATTGTCTGATTATGAAAAAATATTTTTGACTAGAGGGCCCTCTCCAAAGTCACAACATGCAAGAAATATACTCATTCGTCTATCAATGAGCTTGCTGAAAAGTTGAAAATAGATACTTGTCTCATGATCCTAATGAGAGCATTGCGATGCCTCCTTTTTGCTTTAAAAGCGGTTGAATTTGAACCAGAATTATAATAGCTCCATATTACGTACTTTGACAATACAAAACTTGAATTGTCATCACTGGAAGTCGGAGAGAAAGTTGAAAACTGATTTGCTTTATAAAAAGCATTGATGGAACTTAATAAATACAAAAAATTCATCTAAAAAAAGATGACAAAATGATGTCACTGAATGAAACACAGTAAAGAGTCGTATGAACGGCACTTAAATTCAAAATATAACTGCTGAATTTAGTATCCCAAATCAAAACATATTGATGAACACATGGCTGAAATGAATGCACAGGGTGTCCTTGACTATATTACTTATAGCCTTCTGCAATTAGCAGATAACACGAGGACGGAGAGATTAAATCTACTCCGTAAAATATACAAAAAGTAAAAGATGCTGCAAATTACCCTTATTTCTCGAGGAAGGCCTAGTACGTTTCAAAAAGGCACTTACTAAAATGTAGTCAATTATATTGATTATAATTTTAATCATTTATTGTGCATGCAAAACTTGAGCACAAATTCTATGGATATCTGAACTTCTGACCACACAACGAGAACTTGCTGGTCAGCTGTGATGCAACATCACTTTACATAAATGTGCAATTGGAGAAGCTTATGGCTGCTGTTGATACGGCTTTTAGGGAAATTCTCAGTCTAAGCCGAGCCCACAACAGACCAAAATTATATACACAGATTTAATATATTTGAATTTGCAAATATATACAAACAAATAATTGAATATGCGATGGGTTGTAAGTCAGGAACCCCATTCTGTATGCGATATTCGCTAATAAAATCTATGTATAAAATTATTAAAATACCTGCATATTCTCAAGAAATATAAGGATTGCAATACAATCCTTAGAGAATAACTTATTGTGTCATTAAACACATTAAAAATCTGAGTGATATGCTCCTCTCCTAACTAATTTACTAATCTGTATAACAGATGTGCAAATAGGCTCCTGATGATGGCGGATTTGCAGCTAATTAATATATTATCAAAATCTTAAACCTCGTATATATCACACCGCCGAAACATGAGATCAGTGTCGAGTCAAGTGATTTGAGGTACGTGGCTGATAAGAGTCACTTTCTTTGAAACAAGTAAACCACGACCTGATGTCAGTGTACGACAGCGAGGTGCAGCTGATTATGGAAAACGGTCCTTCCTGACAGACGTTGATGAGAATCAGTCCGCAAATGTGAACGTTGCAAGTAGAAGCGACAGAGGGAAAACTGTGTTTTATGTGAAAAGGGAATCATGAACTAGATGACTGTAAACAGTTCTTAGGGAAGAGTTTGGGAGGAAGAAAACAGTAGGCAAAACAGAAAGGTCTGTGTCTTGGATGTTTACATTTCGGGTCATTTATCAAGGAAGTGTCGCCAGAGGAAAAGATGCAAAAACTTGTTCCAAGTTTCACCCTCATCTTTACACGGGGACATCTATAGACGAGAACAGCACCAGATTACGGAGGATGTGGATAAGACAGCTGTGCCAAAGGAGAGTTCATCAGGAACAACACTTATGAATCACTCAGGAGCATCTAGTAAAAGTTCCATGATACTTCCAGTTTATGTGTCACACAAAGAGAACACAGATAAAGAGAGGTTAGTTTATGCGCTTCTCGACACGCAATCCGATACAACCTTTATTCTGGAGAAGACTTCAAGGGCCCTCGGACTTGCAGGTAGACCTGTGAAGCTGATGCTTTCTACTATGTATGCAGAGAACAAGGCCATAGATAGCTGTAAGATTGGAGGACTTGTTGTACGTGGTTTCAATAGTGAACACAGGATAACATTACCGGAGACGTACACAAGAGCTATCATGCCTGCCAACAGATCCCATATCCCAACACCTGAAGTTGCGAAAAGGTGGCCTCATCTCGAGGCTATTGCTGACGAACTTCTGCCTCTGACTGATTGCGAAGTTGGGTTACTTATTGGTTACAACTGTGTGAAGGCTTTGACGCCTAGAGATGTTATCGTTCCATCCGAAGACGGACCTTATGGTCAACGCACTGACTTGGGATGGAGTGTAGTAGGCATACTGGAGAATGACAGTTCAACGGAATGGGATGAGGATCCCATAGGAATTAGTCATCGTATTGTTGCGTGCGACTTGCCTACAGAACTGTGTTCATCTAAAGTATCAAGACAAGACCATATTGTATTTTCGGTAAGGAACAAGATAAAGGAAGTAATCAACCCTGAAGAGGTAGTTAGGATGCTTGAAGTGGATTTCAGTGAGAACTTTAGCAGTTCAAAACATGTTCCCTACGAAGACAGAAAATTTCTGGATATCATGGAAAAGGGGATTCATAAGCATGATGGGCATTATGAAGTGCCATTGCCTTTCCGAGAAGCGATGCCATACCTGAGCAATAATAGAAACATGGCATTTCAGCGACTACAAAGCTTGCGGAAACGACTTGAGAAAGACGCACAGTATAACGAGCATTACGTTTCCTTTATGAGAGAACTGATATCAAATGGTTTTGCCGAAAGAGTGCCGAAGAAGGAAATTGGTGTCGATAGTGGTCAGGAGTGGTACATCCCACACCATGGCGTATATCATCCGCAAAAACCAGGAAAGCTGCGTGTAGTCTTCGATTGCAGTGCAAAGTATATGGGGCAGTCATTGAATGACCATTTGCTGCAAGGACCTGACATGATGAATATGCTTTTTGGAGTTTTGTGTCGATTTCGCAAAGAGCCAGTGGCCTTTGTTTGTGATATTGAGCAGATGTTTCATCAGTTCAAGGTGAATGTTGAACAAAGAAATTACTTACGATTCTTGTGGTGGGGTGATGGCAATTTCAATACGGATCCTACTACTTACCGGATGACTGTACATCTATTTGGAGCAGTATCTTCTCCAGGATGCGCCAACTTTGGCCTGAGACAAGCTGCCACAGACGGAGAGCTTCAGTTTGGGTCTGACGTTGGGAATTTCATCAAACGAGACTTCTATGTTGACGACAGACTGAAGTCGGTAGCTACTCCAGAGGAAGCCATTAGCATCAGAGAGAGAAGCAAAGAGTTGTGCAGCAGAAGTGGTTTGAGGTTACACAAGTTCCTCTCAAACTCAAAAGAAGTTTTGGAGAGCATTCCAGCTAAAGAAAGAGCAAAGGGACTAGCAGATATTGACATACACCATGACAAGCTTCCCATGGAAAGAACTTTAGGTATACAGTGGTGATTCAGACAGACGCATTTGGGTTCAGAAGATTACCCCCTGAAGGACCGTCCTTTTACTAGACGAGGTGTTCTTTCAACTTTGAGTTCCGTATTTGACCCACTTGGATTCATAGCACCTTTCATCCTAGTTGGGAACCAAATCTTGCAGGAAATGTGTAGAAACCAGACAGATTGGGATAGCCCTCTTTCAGAGAACTTGAAGCCTAGATAGAGATGTTGGAGAAATGATCTTGAGCAGCTTGGTTCATTGGAAAACAAGAGATGTCTGAAACCTGAGAACTTTGGAGATGTTGTTGTAGCGGAGCTACACCATTTCTCAGGTGCGAGCACTATCAGGTATGGCCAATGCTCATATCTTCGTCTCATCGATGACAAGCAGCAAGTTCACTGCTCTTTAGTTATGGGCAAATCCAGAGTTACTCCACTCAAGCCAGTAACCGTACCTCGTTTGGAACTTACTGCTGCTTTCGTTTCTGTTAAGGTCAGTTCCCAACTTCTGGAAGAGCTTGAAATTAGCAATGTTGTTAATGGTTTTGGACAGATAACACTGTTGTTCTTGGATACCTTGCTAATGATTCTCGGCGATTTCATGTTTTTGTTGCCAACAGACTTCAACAGATTCGTGATCACACAGAACCATATCAATGGAACCATATCAGTTCAGCAGAGAATCCAGCAGACATGGCATCACGTGGTGTTACAGCTGATGAGTTACGAAAGAGGAAGGAATGGTTGCAGAGAAGCCCAAGTTTCTATGGGAGTCCAGTTTACCATTTACTGTTAAGCCTGTCAGAAAGCCAAGTTTATCGGATGGTGACCCAGAGGTTAAGCGTTGTCAGGTGTTCGAAGCGAAGGTAGAATCTACGGAGTGTACATCGTTGATGGACCATTTAGAACGTTATTCTGATTGGACCCATGCCACGAGACTCATAGCAAACTGTCTTAAGTTCAAGTCATTACTTAGGAAGGATGCTTGTCGGAAGGGGACAGACGCAGTGCTTCGCAAAGAGCAAGGATTGCCAGTAGCATTATTAGAGGAAGCAGAATTGACTATTGTAAGATTAGTTCAGAAAGAGTTTAGTGAAGAATTGAAATTCTTAACGACATCAAGGGATGTGAGGAAGTTAACAGGAAGAAATCCGTTCGAAAGACATCCTCCCTTTACCGACTTGACCCATTTCTGGATGATAATGATGTTTTGCGAGTCGGTGGTCGTTTGCGGAAGGGAGAATATACGTCTTATGTTAAGTATCCAATCATTCTACCAAGGAAGTCACATATTACAAGGCTTATCATCAGAACTTTCATGAACACAGCAGACACCAAGGACGAAGTATTACTACGAATGAGATAAGATCAAACGGTTGTTGGATTATTGGCTGCTGTTCTGCTGTGTATAGTATGATTTCGAGATGTGTGAAATGTGGTAAACGTCGCAGCCAAACACTGGATCAGAAAATGAGCGACCTACCTGTTGACAGACTTGCAGCAGAGGCACCTTTTACATACAGTGGTGTAGACTTTTTTGGACTGTTCTACATCAAAGAAGGGAGAGAAGAAAATAAAGAGATATGGAGTTCTCTTTACATGTATATCTTCGAGAGCCGTGCATTTCTAGAGACTGCAAACTCTCTTGACACTAGTTCATCAAATTTATCGATGCTTCTGCGCAAGTTCTATCGATACGTGGACCAGTAAGACAACTGAGATCAGATAGGAGCCTGACCTTGTCGGGGCTGAGGAGGACTCAAGATCTTTGGAAGAATTGGACGATAGTCGTTTGAAGCAGGTTCTCACAGCTGACAGATGTGATTATATCCATTTCAAAATGAACGTTCCATCAGCGAGTCATATAGGCGAATTTGGGAAAGGCAAATCAGGACGGTTCGCAATGTGCTTTACTTCCCTCTTACAGGACTTTGGTGCGCAGTTAGATGATGAGGCTTTTAGAACCTTTTTCTGTGAGACTATGGCTATTGTCAACAGTCGCCGCCCACTTACCATTTCTAACTTGCATGATGCATTCGCCTCTGAACCGATCACACCGAACCACTTTCTAACCATAAAGTCTAAGGTTGTCTTACCAACACCTGTTGAGTTCAAGAAACCTGATTTGTATTGCCGTAAGAGGTGGCGCCGCATACAATACTTGGCCAATGAATTCTGGATACGTTGGAAAAAGGAATTCCTTCAGACCCTCCAGACTCGAGCAAAGTGGTCCTCGCCCAGACGGAATATCCAGATAGGAGATGTTGTGCTAGTGAAGGATGACAACGTACCTCGAAATCAATGACACCTTGGGCGTGTCATAGATACATATATACAAGTGAGGATGGATTGGTACGGAGTGTAAAGTTAGATATCGGAGATAGCAGTTTGGACAGGAACGGCAAGAGGAACGCTCAGCTTTCTACACTGGAGAGACCCGTTCACAAGTTAGTCTTGTTGCTGGAGAACGAGACCGGGGAAGACCCCACCGAGGAGCAATAGTTGGAACTTATTTAATTGTTTCTTCAAAGACATTGTAGAAGTTATATGATTGTATGTATGTTAAAATTAGTTATCCACTAATTTGGGGAGCAATGTTACGCCCGCACATGCTACCGTACTTGGAACTCTTTTGTAAAGTGAGGTAATCCTGTATCTTTTGCGTTATTTTTATGTTCATGGCGGCAAGCACATGGTGAGACAAAACCCCTCATATTGCGAAAACAAGGAGGTAAATAAGTTTTACCTTTGTATGTGTATTTTCGCATACTCGATCAGTAATTAATTTTCTGTGTATTGAATCTGTGTAATTGTTATTGTTTACAGTTTCACGGTGAAGTTTGGTACTGTTTGACACTGCGGCGGGAATACCCGTATTTTTGTTGCTTTGAATATTAAACTTCATCAGTATAAACCCAAGTTAACCTTGTTTTATCTGCGAGAGGGCCGCTCGATCCATAAGCGCAGATCTCTGCCGTAACAAAAAATATACCGGATTGTCTTTTAAAATTTTTAAAAATTGTTTATTGTTACTGATAATGCAATTTTATATAACATTTGATACAATTTATATTTCTAAGGAAAATATTTTGATATTTTAACTAACGATGTTGTTGGATTGTCGTCTGCTATGCAAACACATTGTCTGGCTCATGAATTGTATAAAAAATTACTAATTCTGTAGTGCATTGATATGCATGACGGCGAAACCATTGGACGAGCACATTTATTCTCATCTCTAACTCAATACACCTTCCTATTGAGCCTACACTTTTTAGTAAAATCACAAAAGTCACAAGGAAACACATGTGAAATATGAAAATCATAGCTCCACTAAATCAAAACTTATGGGCAAGGTTAAAGTTTTTAGGACAACAGATAGACAGAGAGAAAGAGAGATAGATAGACAGACAGACGGACGGACACGACAAAAACTACATCCCCGAAATTTCGTTTACGGGGGCATAAAAGTACCAGATTAATCATAATTAAGCAAAGTATCAAAGATTTTACTTTTCTTAACTATAATAAATATTTATTAGGCAACCTTTAAAAGGCAAACAAAACTTCCTTTCTACATTTATCAGTGAAATAATGTTTAATATAAGATAAATCGTATCTGTTTGATATTTCGATACATATTCATATAGTTGAATGCATCCTCTTCTGGTAAGTAGAATACTCATAAAAAAGATGTGAATGAGCAGAAATTATACAAAAGTCATCTTGGTCCTGCTGACCTACGGAAAAATATTGTAAATATCCTCTTCATGATCCCTCTTTATGTTACCTCTTCATACCCATAACATATCGAAATCTGGTCCAAATGGGTAATGATTTGTTTTGGTTTTAATTTAGTGAATAGAGCAATATTCAGAAGTTTTTTTTTTTCAAAATAAATTACATAGCCTACACATATGGAGAAGAAAGTTTTAAAACCTGTTATACATGTGATTATGATATACATGTATTATAATGCTTGGAAGCGACTACCAAGGAGCCTATGCAAGCTTGCCTAGTAATGCACCGGGAGCTTGATAATTTGATAATATAGTTTCTTTAATTTTTAATGATAAAATAGGGTTTCTTAGATTACTTTCTTTTGTAAACTTGGAAGTCATTGATAAACTATAAACCTTTCCAACATTGCATGACTCATGTTGATACTGTCACTCTAGTTGATGAATAATTTAAATAATAGAATAAAAAAAAAAATCTGCAATAACTGTGACGTTAATAATTCCCGTACTAACAAACAAAGAAAGGGATTTTATCGTTTATATTTACATCTGTATGAAAAATAACATTGAAAGTAAAATTGAATATGATAATTATTGTAATATAGATGAATATGCCATTGTATGCATAAATGATGGAATAGTCATTGTTCAAGAAATCTATGGCTTGCTTTTTGTCGTATATGCACTGACTAATGGCAATGTTCTATATAAGAAATAAAGGAAAAATATTAAGTGGATGTTAATATGGGGATAACAAAAAGTAATCAAATTCAAAAGTCTACATTTCTAAAACGTGGTAAATTATTGATAAAAAAGTTGATGAAACAAGAATATCAGCAGTTATCAGTTTAAAGTCATAATTTCGTAAGTTCTATAGACGATATTATTATACCTCTACTGTTATTACTTTATATGAATTTAATACCACAAAACTGCCTATTTTCCCGAGAAGAGACTTTTTCCCTCATCTGAGGACTACTCCCTGAAAAAAGCAGAGCTAATCCCTGGGACTATTCCCTCATGAATATTTATTAGTAATTTTAATCAATCAAAGTGTTTAGTGGTCGGAGCGTTCAAGGAATCTCGAGTCTGTGACGTCATGTTATTAGCAATGTAACTATGACGTCAAAACATTTCGACATGCAATCTCAAAATCATACTTGAATTCTAGCAAAAAGAAGTGAACGATAATTCTTCGAAATGTCAGTGAAAATACTTTTTTAAAGATAATTTAATTGTTTTAGGACACGATGCATTACTTATCATACAATAT